CCCGGGCCGGGAGGTGTTCGCCCGGAAGACGAAAAGGCGCTTGTCCCAGCCGTGGAGCCCTAGCTCTGGCCACTTTGAGGTACAAGAGGTCGGTTAGGAATGGAGAAGCAGTGACTTCTAGATGGGGAAAGAGCGTCTGTGAGTAAAAGAATTTCTCACAGACTTGATTCCCAATCCAGACTTTATTCCTGGCTGCTCGAGCACTCCACAGTATCTTTAGCAGACCTTGGTTTCTCGCCTGGAGCCTGGGATAAAGATTCCTACTCCTCCGGGTGTCCGGATTCGGGGAAACCATCTAGAAGGAGATACCAGGAGACAATGTCTCCTAAGAAGTCTTCCCCTTCTCCCAAGACCCTCCCTCAACACCCACCCCGAGACTGGGCCTTAATCTGCTCCCTTAGGAGACTGAGCTTTTCTCTCCTGTCACCCCGGATCCTTGAGCGATTTTACCTTTGGGGAATAATTTGGGATGAACCAAGGAGACAAGGGAGAGAAAGCGCCCCTTCCCGGCCCCCCACCACCAGAGCTGGAAGCCTCCTCCTTGCAAAGGGATGGACAAATATCTCAGTGTTTAACAGAGGAAGAAATCGAGGTTCTACTGGGTGGCCCAAAGCCCAAGCTGAGAAAAAAAAAAGAATGATGGAAAACAGTGAAAACGGAGAACTGTATTCTTGCGCTCTCCGCATCTCCCAGCTGAGGAGTTGCACTCGGAAGCACTCTGGTTTCTGCCTGTGTTCAGCTTGACTGGAGACAGCTGGGAGGGAAATGGATGAGACAGCAGCAGGCTTTACAGCTCCATCTGCCACCCGCTGGCCCAGACACCTGCAGAGTGGGGAGGTCTGCAAACAGACGTGGACTTTCCTATCCCTTCCTTAGTCTCTCTCCACCCAAACCCACCTGCACCTTGGACCAACACCTGCGAGTATCCCAGCTTCTCACACTTAGGTTGCTCAGCCTTAAGTGGTCTGTTACCCCCTCTAGCCTCCTCCCCTTCTGTGCTTTCTGCTGCGGGAGAGGGCGTGACCATCTGCCCAGGTGCCTGAACCTGAGACCAGAGAGTCAGCCCTGTTTCCAGGCTCTTCCCATCTCCTAGGATCTGGACCACTTACCGCTGACATCCCTGTCCAGGTGACATGATCCTAGTTTCCAGGCTCCACTCAGATCCTCTGTCCTCCCTCCACTCCACAGCAGGCAGAGTGGGCTTTCTTAAATGTCTATGATCGGGTCACTTCCCAGATGAAAAAAACCTCAGTAGCTCCCTGTGAGCCCCAGCCTCTGGCCAGGCATGCAAGGCCTTCTAGTCATCTTGCCCTTGCTTGTGCCCACAACTCCTACTTCTCCTCCTGCCACCCCTCCACAGATAGCCACCACCACCACCACGAAAAAAGCGGCACTGCTAATCCCCCAGGTGGGCCCCATGTAGTTCTCCAACTGAAATGACCCTCATCTCCTCCTGGAGAACACCAACTCATGATGTCAGGGAAAGAACTTGGATTTTGAAGAGAGGAGTTTGAGTTCCAGTTATTTATTCAGCAAATATTTATCAAGCAAATATTTCTTCAATATTTATTTCTCAGTATTTATTCAATATTGATAAATATTTATCAAACACCTATATGTTTCAGATGTTGTTCTACTTACTGGGAATACAATGGGAGATTTATATAAATTTATATATATTTATATATATCTCCTCTGAAAACTTGGTATACATATGGTATATAATTGTGTGTGTGTGTGTGTGTGTGTGTGTGTGTGTGTGTGTAAATATATATATATATTTATGAGGGAAGACCCCTTGAAATGGAATTTGTTCATAAAAATCATGCATCAATATTTTTCTGGAGGGTGATAAAGCAGGATTTATTAAGGAGACAGAAAGGCTTCCACAGCAGGAGGGGACCAGCAAGAGGTTGTCCCTCATTTATTCTTACATGTTTAAACTTTAGTACTCTTTCTTTGATGTAATACACTTATCAAGACACTTTTTCCCACTGCTCAAAACAGTTTTTGAAACTCATCGATTCTGATGCCAATTAGTGCTTTGGCTGTTTTTTTGTTTTACCTCTTCCGTATCTCCCTTTGAAGATTTTTTCATCCGGGGTGGGAATGCCTAGGGGGAGGATGTGTGACTAGGGAGTGTGGGGCACAAGGATCATGCTGCTGATGCTCAAAAACTACTGAACACTCAGCGCAGTGTGGGTAGGTTGTTCTTGTAAATCACCACCCATCATGAAATGGGCAAACATGTTGAAGCCTAACACAGCCTCTCACAGCAACACCAGCTGGTGCACTGATGCTAATAGGTTCCTAGACACTTGCCTGACAGGGTCCCACCCTCCAAAAAGATAACTCCTGGATTTTGGGGGATCCATCTCATGTATCTATATCTATATAGACAGATTCCCTCTAAGGGCTTGAAGCCCATTGTCAGAGATGGACTTTAACCCAGGAACCATCCAAAGAAATATACAAATACACATGTGACAAGGGCAGTGAAAGAAAGGTATACAGCCTATGTAGCTGTACACCAGAGAGGGATTGGCCAAGACAAAATGTTTGGGGAAGGCTTACCTGGACAAGTTTCTCTTTGGGTTAAAATCACATTTAAATGTACAAAGTGGAATACATAAAGAAGGAAAGTATGGCAGGAAGGAAGAACAGACCTTTCGGATATTGGGCAGGTTACTTATCTCTCTGAACTTCGGTTTCCTCATCTGGAAAATGGGTTAATAATAGTAGTTTTACAACAGATGCTGGAGAGGATGCGGGGAAAAGGGAACACTTCTACACTGTTGGTGGGAGTGTAAACTAGTACAGCCTCTTTGGAAGACAGTGTGGCAATTCCTAAAAGATCTAAAAATCTACCTTTCATACGACCCTGCAGTCACCCTATTGGGAATATACCTGGAAGAATTTGAGTCCCTCTTTAAAAAAGATACTTGCACATGTATGTTTATCACAGCATTGTTCACAGTAGCAAGAACAGGGAACCAACCATGCTGCCCATCAAAAGAGAACTAGACAAAAAAAATGTGGTACATATACATGATGAAATATTATGCAGCCATAAAGAAGAACAAAATCATGAACTTCATAGCAACCTGAATGGACTTAGAGTCTATACTCCTGAGTGATCTTTTTCAGAAACAAAGAACTGAGTATCACATGTTCTCACTCATAAATGGACCTTGAACAATTATCATAATACTATAGGAAAAGGATTGGCAGTAGCAGAAAACTGCTGGGAGTGGGGCGTGGAAGTGGGATTGGCAGTAGTGGTAATCTGCCTGGGGAAGGAGAGACACACTTCATGAACAAGGGTACCTGCATAAAAACATTTGTATACCTAACCCTGAATTGTACCCTGCATCTTTAAAATAAAAAAATTAAAAGTTCAAAAAAAATAATAGTAGTTTTAAAAGTAAATGTACAGCCTAGGCAATATAGAAATACCTTGTCTTTACAAAAGATAAAAATAAAAAAAACTTGGTATAGTGGCACTCACCTATAGTCCCAGCCCCTCAGGAGACTAAGGCTGTAGGGTCATCTGAATGCAGGAGGTTGAGGCTGCAATGAGCTATGATTGTACCACTGAACTCCAACCTGGGCAGCACAGTGAACTCTTGACTCAGAAAAAGAGAACAAAGTGTGATGAGGCCACAATAACTAATGCATGAGTGTTTTGAGCCTCCCTTCTTCCACTGGCTATTCCTGTGCAGTTCCTTACCCTCAGCTGCTAAGGAAGATTCTTCCCTGACTTTTGTGATGGAGAGTCAGAGAGCGAATGCATTACTTGGCCTAGAAGGCTGAAGAAGAAAATAATTGTCCCAGAAGAAAGAGACTGAGTTAGTCTCCATAATAAAAGGCAGAGGGAGTGAAGTGGGGAGAAGGACTAAAAACTGGGGGTGAAGTTTCCAGAGAAGATTGTGGGAAGGGGGTGAGGGAATGGTGGTCTGGAGGAACGAGGGTAGGAGAGCAAAATAGCATTCTAAAGAAGGAATTGCTATCATCTTCACAGAATTTAAGAAATGCAAAGGATTTGAGTCTGGAAACCACCTTTTGGCTACAGAACACGGCACTCATGGCTCTGTCAGTGATATAGTGCATGTCACAATGTTAGAACATTTCTACCCTTCTAGAACTAACTCAGTCACCTCTCTAGAAAAAATTCTTGACTCTTCAGGACTGAGCAGGTGTCCAGTACTGCAGAAGAGCCCTGAGTTGGCTCCTAGTACAGCCATCAGGACAGTGAGTTGTACCATCCACTCACACGGCTGCGTGGCCCTCTAGACACTCTGCTTCTCAAGTCAAGAAACATTGTCTTTTCATGTCTGAATTCCCAAAACCAACACAATGAGTGGGGGCTTGACAAATCTCTGTTGGTAATAAATGGAAAGAGGATTCTGTACCCAACACCGTGAAATCAACGAACAGATAATTCGATCAACCAAGAAAGGCACACACACTCAGTACACAAGTTTACACTTGTCCTCCTGGACCCCACCCACCCATTCATTCATTCAGCAAGCATTTATTGATGGCGGTGGAGGCAGGGCCATGCAGCGTGAACAAGTCATAGCAGGGTAGGCTGGTATAGTGATTATGAGAAACTTCCAGCAGAAGATGGTAAAATATATCCAGAAAGGACTTTTTTTTTCCTAATTAGCCCAAAATTGCCATTTGAGCTGGGGGCTCAGTTGTGACTATCTCCCAAATCCTATTCTAGACCTGGGGGATATAAAGAGAATCAGAGATACATTCCTTGTCCTTATGCTTATATTCTAGAGGGAAGACAGATTAAAAAATTCAAAAATAAGATAATGTCATAATGGTAAGTGCTATGAAAAAAATCAAATGGAATAATAAAACAGAAAGTAACTAGGCTGGAGGGACAAGCTGCTTCAAAATGAGTGATCAAGAAAGACTCTTTGCAATCAGAAAGGTAAGAAGGACTTAGTCAATCAAATATTGAGGGTAAATCATTCTGAAAGAGGAAAACGAGCCCATACAAAGGCCCTGGGGCAGAGTGAGCTTATTTGAAAAGAATTAAAAGGGTCAGGATGGTTGTAGCATAGTGGCCAAGGAAGAGAGAGAGATGAGGCGGAGAAGATGAGCCCTATTTCCATGGTGAGGGCATGATCATTTATTCTAAGTCCCAGATGCCTGTTAAATCCCTTAAACTGGATGAAAATGAAAGTCCTTTTGTCTCCAATGCCAATTTTTGAGCCCTAATAAAAACAGCTCAGAGACTTGAGAGATGACAGGAAAAATGGGAACACTAGGGCGGGGCATATCCAAGTGCCTTCTACTACCCTGACCCTATTTTTGGCTGCAAAAAGAAACAGAGTACACCCAGGTCTGGCGACTCAGCCTGTCATCCCAACACTTTGAGAGGCTGAGGCAAGTGAATTGCCTTGAACCTGCTGGTTGGAGACCCTCCCGGGCAACTTGGCAAGACCGCATGTCTACAATAAATCAAAAATTAGCCAGGCATGGTAGCGCGCATCTGTAGTTCCAGCTACTTAGAAGGTTGAGGCAGAAGGATTGCCGGCACGCAGCGGGTCGATGCTGGGGTGGCTGTGACTGTGCCACTGCACTCCAGCCTGGGTGACAGAGTGAGACTCCAACTCAAAAAGAAAAAAAAAAGGAAAAGAAAAAAGAAAAGAAAGAAGCATTTCATGGCTGAGATCTAAAAAACTCTAACAAAGACAGCAAGGATGCTGACCAGTCACAGCAGGTGTTGCCTGTCACCCCAACCTGGTACACTGGCTAGGACTCCAGGCCACCCTTGCTGTGCCAGCCTTAACCCTTTAATTGCTAGCTGTAGGGAAGTCTGAGGCAGTCCCAAGGCAGGCTTCAGAAGGGTTATCCAAGGCAGCAGAGGTCACTCAGGAGGCTCAGGACAGTGGCTACTTACCAATGGCATGAAAATGCTTCCATAACTGATGTAGTCATTGTGAGGTACACAGGCTGACTGTCAGGGGTGAGAAGGACCACAGCACAGTGCCAGGACCTGGGAACAACTTCTTCCTAAGCTGTGCTCCTTCCACACCACCTTCACCAGGTTTTCACATGTGCCTGGACTTCTCTAGAACATTCTTTACCACCTCTCCCAGCTGTGTGTCAGCCTCT